TACGAAGACAATAAACCGGATTCTGATTCAAAAATATGAAGACTTATTATTTATTTAAGATAAGATTTACCTTTATTAATCCCCCGTAGGAGGAATTCAAGTTAGACACAGCAGCATAGAGGCAATGTAGTACAAAGAGTACAGAAATGTAAAAGTACAATAAGAATATTACAAAATATAGTAGAAAACACAAGACTTTAAATCTAAAACTAAACTGTACATGTGCAAACTTAAAGATAATAGAGGGTTTGAATTATTATCATTTATTTGTAATAATATAATTTTGTTTCTGTCTGATGTTTTACTTACAAAATAAAGCTTTTTAAAAAAAAACCCTCAAATGACCGACAGGGGGAGCTCCACCGCCTGAAAGCCCGATGATCCAGCTACAGACTTCATATCCCAGAATCCTTGGCGCCGAGGTCCGAGCAGACGAAGGGGAAACAGATGACTCGTCTGCTGCGTTGAGGTTGAAACCTGCCGACTGAAACCAACCGAGGGGCTGACTCACTGAACAAAACGCCTCAAGGAAGCGAGTTTAAAAGGTAAGAACCGCCGATGGAGACTTTTTATTAAAAACCTGCTTTTTATTTTTAAGACTTTATCAAAGCAGCAGGCTAACTAACTAGCCAGCTAGCTGTCAAACGATGCTGGTAAACACCTCCTGTTTCATTCTGGCATTCATGGACGGCGATGCAGCTGCAGCAGAGAGGCTGTTTATCTCGGTTTATAGCATCTTAATGTGTGTTATTAGTCAGCATTAAGGGATAAACAGCTGATATATATGTGTGTGTGTTTTATGGGGGGGGGGTCTGCAGTGGTCTTGTTGTTGTTGCTGGCCTCCTCTCCGCCCAGACTATCGCTGTTTCCTGCTGCAGTTTGGGCATTTTTATAGTTAACTGGATTAAAGTGCACCTATAATCTACATTTATTGAACTGATGGTGGCTTCAGGGCTGCAGAGGAGGCTCAACCTGCCCCTCCATCCACAGTTTAACCTCTTTTTTTTAATGCTGTATCGTTCATGTTTTTTTTTTTTTTTTATGTGTCGGGCCTTTGAGAGCCAAGACAGCATGCACTATGTTAGAGTCTGCAACATGCAAACACTCAGGACTGACCAGTGAGAACGGGTGCCATGCATCCAGGTTTCTCAGCATTTGTTGGTGCAGGCAGGGGTTGTCGTCTCCTCCTCCACAGGTGAGGGTGAACCTGGTTTCAGGATACCAGCCTGCTCCCTCTTTACATTATTGAATAATCTGCTGGTTTTATTCTGAAATGCATTAAGTTATTGTTTGCTCCAGGACGTGGTGTGCAGTCTAGACCTGCACTAGATGAAAACCTGTCGCTGTGCAGTTGTGGAAAATATCCATAAACCCAAAGATTCATTAACTTCATCATATAAGACAAAGAAAAGCAATAAATCCTCATATTTTAAAAAGGTTTAAAGCTGCAAATGTTTGGCATTTTGCTTTGAAAGTGGCTGAAATGATTGATTGACTAATTGATCATCAGAATATGGATTAATGAGCTTACTGTCGCAGCTCTCTTCTGTACGGTGCCATATATATTTCATGTTACCGCTGTCCTACACTCCCTTTTAATTCAGGATATATAACATCATCACACAAAGCTTCGGGATTACGGTTCTAACCAATCAGGAATGGGTAAAACGGCTCTTGTTTCCATCTCTAATCGACTAACTAACCATAGATATTGAATTAGGGACGGCGGTCAGAAATCTTATGCCACACAGTTGGGCCTTTCCAGCTTTCCAGGAAACAATGTTTACGTGTGCAAACACATAACCAGCAGTCTCAGAAACAGGGAAAAAGGGAAGGATTTGTCTTGTGTTTATACGGTTTGGCAATAGTGACCCAAGGCTGACCTATTTTTCTCTGTTATGGACACATAAACAGGAAGAAAGGACATAAACGCTGGTATTTCCAGGTCTGCTTTTGTGGCTGTATTCTTACCCTGGAAGAACAATAAATGGAGCACACTGGTCACATTACAGCCTCCATGTAGTCCAGCTGGTAGCAGTTAAGTTGTAGTAACTAGTTAGAGACTTGCTAGTGAAGAAAGTGGAAACATCTAGCGGCTAAAGAGTTCGATATTAGTCTTTTTACGAGGAAGGAGCTGGTCATTGGTCAACAGTCACAGCTCTGGTTTCACAGTACTGTGCTTCGGTCTTCGTAAGAGCTTCGCGTGCGTGACTGCATTCGTCTGCAGACGGATGATCACACTGGAGTTTCACCAAAGTTCAGTGAAACCCACTAATCCATAGAAATCCTGTGACCACAAGTCAGCTGCTGGAGTTATTTCTCCCATAATTCATAGTGAGAGCAAGCAGAGGCCACCTTTCTGCCCCACATGGAGCTACCGTCACGTTTGCCTTTATACCACCGGACTGACGCAGGCAGAAACAGCCGTATTGGTGAATATGTCAGCGTAGAAACACAGTGACCACGTTACATCGCTGTCTGTCTGTCTGTACGAAGCAGCGACAGACCGATTAATCGATGTCTGCGCTCACGAGGCCGATCAATAAAAACATGTCTTCAGACACTTTGCAGGCGGCCCTGTCAGCGTGGAACACAGTTAGTGGCTCTGTACTTTAACTGTGAAGCATCCTGCTGTAAACGTAGGCCTGAATGTCCGATAGAATACAATAGAAGATAATTATAAGAGACTCCTTTTCTGTGGTATAGTAAACTGAGTAAGTGACATATATTTTATATTATATTAAAAACAATGAACTCAGTTACTGCAGGAAGTTTGTGAGTGATTTGGATGAATGTTGAGCAGATTATTTCCTGTTCAGGGAACTTTTTATACAATTCTCTGTCTGTATTATGTATTTTTATAATTCTTCAACAATCATAAAGACTTATTAGGTTTCCTTTTTTACAGATTCAATGTTTTTTCTTCTCCCTGGCTCTTGGTCATTGTTCTATCAGGCAATTTACTTTATATTTCTTCACAGAAGTGAACCAAATGCTGAGATATCGGCCTACTGTGTGTATATTTGTTTGAATTAATCTGACAAATTTCTTTATTTATTATGAGCTTGAATATAAAAATCACAAAAGACGTTTTCTCATATGAATTAGGAGAATCCAGGCCATCACACACGTAGGTACACAACAGGAGATCGTCTGCGTTACTACTGGAAATCCTGCCAATTCCGAGTCGAATCCAATACTTTATATTTACATAAATGTTGATTAAATATGCAGCTGTAGCTACTAAATGTGCCACTTTGGCTCTTTAACCAAGAATCAAGTTCCATTTTGGCCTTTTACCCACAGAATTAACAGTAATTATCGTCTGTGATGTTTCCAGCTAAAAGTGGAAGAGGTTTATTGTTCTAGCAGCATTGAACCCATCGCACCTTTTTCAATTCAATTCCAGTTTGTGGAGTTTCTTCCACGATACGCTTTTAATTCACCAAAACAGTCCTGGTTCCTGCTCGCTGGAACCAGTCCGACCTGTGCCTCCCATCAGCCTCTCCCAGGCGACTGCTGGTTAAAGACTGTATTGGATTTCCTGCCATTGCCTCATTTTGGTTGTTGGGTTTTGTCCAAGACACAATGGCTGCCTCTTTAAACCAGATTCCAATCACACTGTTTTTTTCTTTCCTGTTTACTTACATTTTGTCTTCCGTTTCTCCTTTCTCCCTCCACTCAGTGATAACATCCACAGCAACCAGCAGCTCATCTACAGAGATATTACTTTTACTACCTTTTTTCATGGTCTTTCTTAACCTCATTAGTGTAAATGCAAGAGCCCACAACTCTCAACTAAACTAAAAGGATCAAATAATCAGATTTCCAGAGGTATAAAAACATAGATATTGCTTTCTTTTGAGAGCCTCACCCTAAATAATCTCATATTCTTGTGCCCCAAATGAGTCCTTCGAGTTTTAAAGAGGAGATTGAATTTGAGGGTTGGCGTGATGGGAGCTGATTCAGATGGTGAATCTTGTTTTGTTTCTCTGGCAACAATAAAACTGTGTATCTCATTTGTGTATCTGCACCAGATTCATTCTTAACCCTCTCATGAAAAGTAGAAAAGTGAATTTTCTTAAAGACAATGAATCAGTTGAGATTTTAACATCCTTGGTTGAGTTCAGTGTAAATAACTGAACTTGATTTCTAGACTTTAAAGCTTGAATGACTCATAGCTCTAATAATAAATGTTTAATTAGTGTGTGTGTGTGTGTGTGTTGTGTGAGTGTGTGTGTGTGTGTGTGTGTGTGTGTGTGATGGTGGTCTGTCGTCTGTGTAGTTTGTTCTCTCTCTTGCTAAATATATCTTGATCTCAGTGAGATTTACTGAATAAAATAAAGCTTCACTAACTTGAAGAATACTTGTAATACAAAATGCTGAATTTCTGTCCCATCAGTCGAGTAAGCTCAGACGTCAAGCGTGGTGTAGCTATAAAAAGTTGTGCAGAGGAAGCTGCAGATAGCGGAGGGTCTATTTGCTTTCAGGGGAAATTACAGCACATGAAATGACACTATGTTGGTTTATCGCCTTCTTATTTCCTAGAAATGTGCCCCCCGTTGCTCAACCTATTCCAGTAGATCAGATTGACGCTGTCCAGTAAACCTCTGGATCATTTTCAAAATAAATCATTTACAAAATGCAACAACTGTAACAACCTGCGTACTGAAGCTGCAGTTCAAGTCGGACATTTTCTATTGCAAAAGTATCTTTACGTGTCAGCGTTGTAAGTTTTACAGTTAATTTAAGGTGAGTTAAGAGCTGAAAACGGAGGCATTTGGTGGATTGAAAAAATAATGCTGGGATGAAACTGGTTTCACTCAACTATAAAGTTTGAAAAGAACGAGATCACATACCGCGACGCAACCAGTTTATCATGACGAGAGAAAATAAACAGCTTGTATCACGTTTCCACATCAGAGTACAGTCAGTGCAAAAGAGGTTTCACTTCCTGAAACATAGACAGTGTAAGTAACAAGTGAAATGGTCAAAGGTCGTAGCATTCAGACAATAACAGCAGTAGTTTTAATGATAGAATAATAATAATAATCCTTATTGTTGCCCTGATGGTGTTTTTTCGGCACCAGTATCGAAGAACAACGCAGACATTTCACAGATTACTAAAGACTTTGTAGCCCACTGACACCTGTAGTGGATCCCATTGATGCAGATAGTTTTTGGTTTCATGTGTCCAACATTTGAGATTTCTATTATTACTTTCTATTATTATCCCCAGTACTGTGAATAATCCTCAGATTTCTCTGTAGACAGTCTTCAGCTGTGGAACTACTTTCTGCAGTTTATTTTAAAAACTGTGAGGAATGTTCTTTTCTTTTTTTTTCTATTTGGCTGAACTGAAAGTTTATTTATTTATTGTTTTTTGGCCACTTGGGAGTCAGCACTGCAAATTTTCACCTTATAAAGTTGTTATTGCACACTCAGCAGCCCTGTCTTTGTCCTCTTGGTGAATGCAAGTCCAATAATCACTCTTAATTCGAGCTCTTTGGCCTCTGGAGGAAATAATATGTGGCTCTGGAGCTGCTCAGTGTTTCACGTTCTTCACTAGTTAGTCCCATACTTTGTCTAATGTGCAGATTGATACTGAGAGTGATCTGAAACAGTAAAGTTAATGGCTGTACAACCAAAACAAAGAGCTAAAAGACTCTCCAGCGAGCCGAGGCTAACTGAATAAAATGTACCGTGGGTTCAATACACTGATTCCTCTCGTTTTGCTTCATCCTCCCCGCAGATGCAGTGATGATGTTTACCTCCACAGAGCGAGTCCACATCCACTAAACCGGGCCTGGCTTCCTGCTCCAATGACCCGCCTCGTCTGACTCCACCTGAGTCCACCTTCTGTAGACCGGTGGGTCGGGGCTGGCCCTGCTCGGGGATGGAGAGCCGATGCAGCAGCAGCGCCGATTCGCGGCTGACCAGCCGGGGGGTCGGGTCTATCAACACCGCGGGCATCTGCGCGAGGGTGGAGTCGTACGAATCCGGCGAGAAGAAGTGCATCTCGGACGTGAGGAGGACCTTCTGCCTCTTCGTCACCTTTGACCTCTTGTTCATCACCTTGCTCTGGATCATAGAGCTCAATGTAAGACATGTCTGTTGGATGATGTTTATGATATTATTATTATTATTATGATAGAGGCAGACAACAGAGAACATTAACATCATTAACCTTTGGGTTCTGTTTGTTGAAAATAGGAACACTTGTGTTCAGAGACTAAAAATACAGTAATGAAGCCCAGTAAGGGGGGGGGGGGGATTGTGTAGTTGATTTTATTTGACTTGTCTAACAACCGAAGTGACTCAGTTCTGTTAACCACATTTTTACATACTGTGTGTCAGGTGATGAATCCATCTGACCTCGTTCGTTGTTGAGTTATTGAACTTTACGACCTTTTATCAGATAACCACCCTCGTGTATAACTAATATACCGACGACTGTACACACTGTAAAGCCTTTATGGTCCAACGCTTTCGTTTGAATTGTGTCAAGGCCAAACAAAAAAAGAAAACGGTCAGGTGCTGCCGGAGAAGTGAATCGAGGTCACGAAGCTATAAAACTTTGTGCCCTGAATGAGGAAGTGATTGTACTGCGGCACACATTCCCAGAGTGCTCCACTTTCACCAAAGTCAACGCTGAGCATCAAACTCATTTATTGTTTGTAGAAGTGTATTTGGAAGGACTCCAGTGACTCACCTTGAACAGTAAATGTGCTCGCTGGACTTCTTATTCTTTCTCTGACTGTAAACTTGTCAGTCTGGAACTTTAATGTTTAAGGTTTCCTTTCCTTCTCTCTCTCTGGGCTACCTCTCTAACTCTAACACGTTACGTTGCTCTCTTCTTATCAGGCTTCAAAAACACTGCAACAAATTCAAAACCAGCAAATAATCAGGTTATTCCACTACTATATATTATATACTGAAGGCCCTCTACAGAGGCCGGCATGCTGAACTGCCATGTTTCGACAGTAGCTGAGAGCGAGAGGCCGAACCCCAAATTCCTCCCGACGTGGTGTTGTGTGTCTCTGTGTGTGTGTGTGTGTGTGTGTGTGTGTGTGTGTGTTAGTTTACAAGACTAGAAAAACGCTACAGAAGTGGATTTATTTTATTTTTATTTACTTTTTAACAAGATAGGTTCACACTGCAAGCCTTAGTGCTCAAATATGGCTGGTATCAGATTCATAAATCAAAGTTTAAGTTTACGTTTTAACCCGATGGTGGCGCTAGATTTAATCCAAGTTATTACAGTTCATCCTGAAGGAGACATGGAGGAGAGCAAACAACCGCTTCACTTTAATTGTTGTGTACATGACAAATAAAGATTTTAATCCTGGTTAAGAATTAAACTAAAGATAAACACTTCAATAAAGACACAATAGACCTTTTTGCTGGGAAATTCCAGAACCAGTTTTTAGTCACCAAAAACAGTTTCAACAACAGCACGAGCGCCACGTCCTGCCAAACATTTCATTCCACTCATACCGATAATACCGACGAGGCAGCTGAATAAAATGAAAACAGTCAAGCGAGGAAGGAAGGAGGAAGGCCTGCAGTTCAGTCTGAGTTCCTTTTCTATCTATTTCTAGATAGAGTTTCTAGCAGTGTTTTATACAGCAGAAGAGGGAAGTAAAGACCACTCCACTAAATAGGTTGCTGGAGAGCCGTGAACATCAACACAGTGTCCTACATTCCTTTAAATGATAAAACTGACATTATTCTATATCAGTGGAAAGCAAATAGCTGTTAACAAAAACTCCTCCGATAGTTTGCGACACAAATTGTACTACTGTAGAAATAAATCTCATAAATCAGGATAAATGTAACCTCATAACATGTAGTACTTCCCCAACATGGCTAATTAAACTGCGTGTGTTGCAATGAAGTCTAATAAACACAGATAAGTCATAGAAATTGGCCTTTTTGTGTCAACGTCTGTACTTTCGTCACTTCATTTAACCATAAATCAAGCAGACCAGTGTCCATGTGTGGACTACCAATCAGATACAGCTCTACTCTTGTAGTGAAACACGTTTAACAAGTCATTTCTGCCGTAACTCAGTTAAACTGAGACTCAATCAGAGGACTTATGGACCGATTATTCTAATCATCTTTGTTTAAGGGGGCAGTTCCTCACAATAACTGCACTTACAGGCTCCGAACTGGACATAAACTCTGTCATTAAGCACTTCAGTATGATTCATTCTACGTTTCTGCTCCTGTCAGCGACAGGTGTGGCAGCCATTCATCAGACAAGATGTCTGCATACAGAAAGATTTATTACAGTATTTTTCTATCAGATCTTTATCTTTTTAGTTGCTTAAAGTATGAGTGACAGCCAGTGAGAGAGTGAAATGGAAGAATGTTTGTGTTTGACAGGTGAACGGTGGCATTCAGAAGCAGCTGGATAAAGAAGTCCTGCACTACGACTACCGCGCCTCCTTCTTCGACATTTTTGTAAGACCTCATTTATTTATTCCGTGTTCCTTCTTTTGTTGTTGTCCTTCTCCTTTAACTTCTTCTTCCTGTATCTTTCCCTCCCTACAGCTCCTGGCTGTTTTCAGGTTTGCCACTCTCATCCTGGCGTACGCCGTCTGTAAGCTGCGTCACTGGTGGGCCATCGCGGTACGTGTTCTCCTTTTAGGACTGCGATATATGACGTTATTATTTGTATCAGCAGAGGGCGCTGTATAAAACGTATAATGTATATAACTTTATATGCACTGAGCTGTTGATTACCTGCATGTAAATAAGTGATGGGCGTCATCTGTTTAAAGTGGATCTGGGACTGATTAGGATAAGACATTGGTACATTGAAATGCATTTTAAAGAGCCGGTGTTTGTACATTAGTTGTAGCATCATTAGCATCAAACCAAGAAATACCAGATTCAATTGCAATGAAATAATTCAACAAGATTAAAAACAGCACAGTAACAATTCAATGAAATTCTAAATTGGTGAATTTTTAATAGAAATTTAAAATCATTACAGATGATAAAGCCACTGAAACTGGAATATTTCACATTCCTATTACCAGAATATTGTAATTAAATAACTAAAATACCACCATTACAGCATTTAAAGGTCCAGTGTGGAACATTTGGGAGGATCTATTGGCAGAAATGGAATATAATATTCATATTATATATACGTCTTGTTTTTGATTGAGGGGGAAAACTCACAGATCTTTTGAACACAGAGCAATTTAAGAGGGGTTGACTTGACACAGGCTTACAGTGGACTGAACAGGGGTGGACAAAATAAGAGAGACAGCTAACAATGCCACACGGTGTCCTGACGGTAAATGAAAACTAAGTGAAGCATATTCTGTTCATTTCCTCTTCAGAGTGAGACGTGTTGATTTGACGGTTATTTCTGAGGCTGTAATCAAACATCCTGTCATGTTGTTGAGGTTAAGGTTGTTCCTCTTTGCTTAATGTTTGTTGAATATCGTCACAGGATCTGTTTTACCAGCTTTTTGCAGCTACTGTAAATCACAACAGCAGCTGCTGGTTATTGGAAGTTAAACACCCATCAGGTATACAGGTAGATGATTCATCATTATACAACAACGTTTGTAGTTCCTTCATGCTACACACATAGAAAAAGATAATCAAATTCATAGACTAACATAAAATAAAACAATAATTAATTACTGTTACTGTATTTTAAACAGTTATTTATATAGATATACATTGAATTTGGGTTGTTGAAAGCAGCAGTGATGATAATATGCTTTTATCTTCGCATAAACAGAAAAAGTTTGAGCACTAAGAATCATGAATGTACGCATTTATTCTGGTTTAGTCGTATTTGCTGAAACTTTCACTCTATCCTGACATTAGTTCATGAAACAATCAGGTTCCTCTGGCTCGTCCTACTGCTCCTAACGGCTTTCACAGGAATCCACTGAACGAAAAACAACCAATCAGAGCCAAGAAAGATCAACTGTTTTACAGCCACCAACCCAAACGTACCCGCTGCAGCTTTAATATAAAACCTGTGTCAGTGTTTTATTGTGCAAGAGCCAAAGCTACAACAATAGTGACTGTACAGATACAGCAGTGATAAACAGGAATAAAATACAACAAAAATATACAAAAGATGACGTGTTACAAAGTTCTAATTAATATAATAATGATGACGACGTAATACAGGCTTTCAAAGAAGGTTTAAATAGACCGATAGGGGTTTTTAAATTATGTAATGGTCTTAAAATGATCTAAAAACAAAAAACAAAACAGACAAACATGAGATTGTGTGTCCAATGAAGTGAATTATCAAAGAGCAGCAGTGTTCTCAGTAGATCCTCACCGACGCCGACTGAACCGACTCTCACAGGATATTAACTGTTTCTTTTTGTACTTAACTGAATAATAAAATAGAGAAGCACAGATAAATAATAGAGAAGAGAGAAAAGGACTTTTTCTTTTGTCAAATTTTACCCCCCGATGGAAGAAAGGAACATTTTCTGTAACCTGTATTTTTAATTATTTTAATCGGTGTTTCCCTCCGTTCCCTCAGATCACCACTGCAGCCAGCTGTGCTTTCCTGATTGTTAAAGTCATTTTATCAAAGGTAAGAGTCACATGTGAGGGGAAACTGAGGTCAGGCTCCACCTGCTGCTCATTATCAGAACTACATGCACTGTTTCATTAGTGTGACACTGTTATTATATATTTTGTGATAATTGCTTATAAACATGATTTGAACTGAGGAAATGTTTCTGAAATGTGCTACTGAAAACATAATTATTAGTTTGTTTCTCCAGTGTTTTTACTCCCTTTTGTTTTGTCTTCTTCCTTTTTTAATACAAATCATCTTATTTTATTATTACCTTAATTTGTTTTGTCTTATTGTTCTTATTTTTTTATCATGATTATATTTACCTTCACTTTTATGTGAAACACTTTACATATGCATTGCATTTAGTTTATTATTATAATTACAAACAGTAGAGTTCCATATGTTTAATAAATGTGATTGTATTGACAGTTTAGGCAATACTACAAAATAAAAGCACAAATCTAACTAATAGGATTTCCTTATTTGAGACAATAACAATGATTTCTGCTCTTTAAATGTGTTAGAGCAGTTTGTTGACCAGCTTGTTTCCATGTGAGTGTATGATGAGATATTCAGGCTCAGTCAGACGAGGTACTACAGTCTGTGTGCTGAAATGTGTGTGTGTGTGTGTGTGTGTGTGTGTGTGTGTAGCTGCTGTCTCAGGGGGCCTTTGGGTACCTGCTGCCCATCATCTCCTTCGTGTTGGCCTGGATAGAAACATGGCTGCTCGACTTCAAGGTTCTGCCTCAGGAGGCTGAAGACGAAAACAGTGAGTCACGTTACGCTGTTATCCAACGGTAGAAGATGTATTTAGAGTCCTTAATTAAATCAAAATGCCATTTGATTAATGTAAAAATACTCCATTACAAGTAAAAGTAATACTATCATCAGCAAAATGTACTTAAAGTGTCACTGTAGCTGCTCGATGCTGCTAGTTTTAACTTCTTTTATACACAGTTAGGTATGATTATATTATTTATATTGTTTTTTAATGTAAAATCTGGATGTGAAAAGTAGCTACAACTGTTAGATAAATGTAGTAAAAAGGGGCAACATTTCCCTCTAAGATGTAGTGGAGTACAAGTATAAAGTATCAGAAATACTCAAGTAAAGTAGTTGTACCTCACAATTGTACTTAAGTAAAGTTTTTATTATGAGCAGTGATAATAACCGTTACCTCTACTGTAACTACTGCAGTAGTACTTCATTTTCTGTTACTATACTTCTACTAATACTAAGAATACTACTGCTGCTTCTTTTGTTACTGGTATTATTAACTATATTAATGCTGCTGCTGCTTTACTGATGATATTACAGCAATTTGTATGCCAATAACTTTAAATAGTAATAAAATATATGCTATTAATAATAGTGCAAATGTAACTATTTTGGGGCATTTATGACCTTTATTTTGACAGTGAAGAGGTGACAGGATACTCGTCCTGCTGATACTTTTACTACCTGTACCACCATTAATACTCCGTAGTCTTTCCTTAATACTGTTTCACTTCTTCCTTCATGTGTTTCAGGATATCAGTCCATCATGGACGCCACAGAGCGAGCTCCTCTCATGTATCCGGGTCCTTTATCTGACGGGCAGTTCTACTCTCCACCAGAGTCTGTGGCAGGTCTGTGGAAATATCTCACACTTAACTCAAAGCTTTTCTTACCTAATCACACCCAGTGTCAGTCCAAGAGCTTGTCTAAGACAACGGGAAGTCACAGTGTGACGTTTTATTGCTTTAACGGGCCGGTTACATTGAACACGTGATGTTTGCTTCCATTATAATCAATAAAACTGGCATTACTGGGCGAGAGAGCAGCGTGTAAATGTTGGTATATTTATATAAAGATTGAAACAGAAGACTGAATGACGATGATAGGTTGCCTTTAACTCTACAGCAGGGACCTCTTTTCTATCATTGAGTAAACTGTGATGTATTTTATGGATTATATTTAATAATAACTCAAATAATGAACACAATAACTGCAGGACAAAGTTTTCCTGAACGTTTTATACAATTCTTTGTCTCTGTTACATATTTTATTTATTTTTTAACAATCTTAAACATAATTAATAGGCTTATTTTTTGACAAATTTAGTGTTTTCTTGTCATTGTTCTGAATGTTCTGTAATGAGTGCTGAAATATAGGATTGCAATATGCATTTAAACCTTTCGTACACACCTTAAAATGAAGACGGCCTTACCCTCCATGAAGCTTTGGCGACCCCTAGTGGCAGAACCACTGCCTTACAGCCTACTGTAGTCTGATACAAACACGGTGCTGGTCCAAAAACTAAAGAAACGATCCCCAAACAGATCAGTTGTTGCTGTTTACAGAGACTCTAGTCTGCAGCTCACACACTGACAGCTGTACAGGAACAGCTGAGTAACATCAGGCTTTACCATCAAAGAGCCTCTGCTGCTTTTAACTAATGGGTTCAATAACACCGACTTCTTGAAAAACTATTCCTGTTTTTTTTTTATGTTTTTTTTTGCTGTTTTGTCTTCACACTGATGTGTTTCTTCCTCGTGTTCAGACTCTGATGAGGAGCTGGACGATAAACACGATCCAGAAAAAGGGCTCATTCAGCAGCTGACTTAACAGGTAACAGTTGGCAGTAACACGCTCTGTGTACTCCTAAAGGTTGATGCAGTTACAACCAGTGTCCTCACCCAAAATCATGAACCTTATTTTCTCTATATTGTTTTTTTTTTTTGCTCCCCCTTTAGGATCTCCGCTTCTGAAGGTGAAATGTTTCCGGCTCCTGTTCTGCTACTGAGGGAGAATTCTGCCTTACACATTCTGCCATTTTTAGTTTTTATCCGTCTCGATGAGGTCTTTGTATCCTCCTACCCACGAATGCACCTATCTGATATCAGCCTTCTGCATGCACACTGGGACTGGAAAAGTGTCGCTTAAAAAGCAGTTTTTCCAGTATCACGACTTGTGGTTATTTTTAGGATTTCTCCACACATTTGAGGAACTCTGGACCTTCGAAGGAGAATTCATATTAATGGGTATTTACACATAAAATTGCACATTGTGTCCGAGGCTCCCAGCTACGAGATGGAATGAAAACGAAATCAATACATTTCAGATTGATTTCAGTGTCAGACCGTGAATCAAAGATATATAAAAAAAACCCAAATGATTTCTTCTCTACGTTATTACTGTCTTATAATGTCATGTTTACATTTAGTTTGTTGATCATTTTCACATGCTTGGGTTTGAAGTCACTGTAATGGAAAATAAGCTTTCTCCATAGACTCTGCATAACAAAAAAGGATTTTAGTTTAACTTTTTCGGCCAGTATTGAGCCTGTGGACCATGTTTGTAGCAAACGAGAGGCAGAATATTTGTGTTTGACTACTACCGGGTCTCAAAGAGCAGTGAAACGACTTACACAGAATATTATTACAGTATAAAGATGATGAAGAAGTATAAAGAATACAGTCTGCTTCTAAAAGAGTATGAAGTATTATTTTACTTTCAAACTAAAATGAGCCATAAAATCTGAAGTGTTTAAGAGGTCGGGCTGCTGTAAACTGCTGTTAGACACAGTCGGAGCTCAGAACGAGTTGAACAATACATGTACATATCTTCATGCATGCCTTGCAAGCAAAGTGGATTTTTTTTGTTTTTATCAAAAGCTTGTCTGTAAAATAGAATCATTAAAATGTGAAATCTTGTCATTTGATTTCTTTTTTGTATACAGCATCAACATTCAGTGGTGGAAGATGTTTTAGGTATGTTTAAAGTAGTAATAAAATACTTTAATAAAAGTCCTGCATATAAGATATAAGTAAAAATATAAAGAACCAACAGTAAAAGTGCTTATTTCAGAATAAAATATATGAGCATCGAGTGCACAACAATGTCTCTAACAATCTTTTGTAAAATATCTTTTGGCCTAAAATTATTTCAAATGTAGATTTTTATGTTAAACTAGCCATTAATGAAGGAAAACCTCAATATAACAGGTGATTTTAAACAGTAGTGTATACTATATATATATTACTTTATATCGGGTAGCTTGTTAATTTCGTCCTGGGGATCAATAAAATCTTGCTGATATGTTAATGTAATTTATTTGTTGATTATATTTTGTATTGATCTGAATCTGGAAAGTAAACAATGATTAAATATATGTAGTTAAGTAAAAAAAAAAAGTACATTATTTGCCAAATTTATGCATTTAAGTACTTGAGTAACTGTATACATTCTCCTCCACTGCGGAGGTCCAAAGTGACCAATGTGTATTAAAAATAAAGTAATTAAAGTGTGAATCTAATACATTTTTATTAATTCACCTCATTATTATTCCTAAAAGTTAATTTATCTGACTTATTTTCACAATAAGAGTTGTCTGTATTCAGTTCCAGCTGTATTTATGTCATAGAATCTGTTTTTATTTCACAAAACCTGTTTTATTTTGTTATTTCATTCTGCCTCCGAGAATACATTTAACTAATTAATTAGATAAACAAATGTTAGAATTACCCTAACTGAATAACGATTCAACATTACATATTCAGTAGTGGTTCAGCTTCACAGTTAGATAATTATTATGGTGATCATTACTCGCTTTAAACCACCAGAAAACAACAAATAAGACAACAGACATTTGCACACAGAATTAAACCCACAAACTTGCAGTTTCTGTAATACTGTTTTATTATTTTTTCACATTTTTATTGACAGAAGTCAAGTATCCAAGGCATTTGTAAACAGTGCGTCCACAAATCTACATTTTGCCTCTCATCAGTGTGGCCTTTCAGTCAGTCGAAAAAACACTGTCCTTTTGAAATAAATACAACACTGATTTTACAAAAAAAAAAGTAGAAGAAAGTAAAACTGAGAATATCCTAACCTATATCTGCCTGAAGGAGCTCATACAGATCCAGATTCAGTCTTTTGTCTGCAGTCACAGTCTGGAAATGATACATGATGCCACATTACTACATGAAAACGACCACACGACACAGGGAGGTAAACGACTCCTTTGGCTCAGAGAGGAGGCGGAAAGGAGCAGAGGAGGATAAAAACAACTAGTGACGCAGTAAAATCCTGGAGCTGGTGTCCACAGATATCAGAGGATTCAGAGGAACTCCAACAACAGGAGGATGAAATGGTGAGAACACCTGAATGACTGATTGTAAACCTCATCTTTAAAATACTTAAAACTGTGTGTTGTTGGACTTTAAGGATACTGGGGGACTTTAAACTAGTTAAAAACACAAAATGTGTCAAAAATACTGGCTTTTTTTTTTTACAGCTTAATTTTGCTAAATTGCTCCTACAAAAAGGTCAGGTCATTGGAGAAGCAGGTAATTAAACAAAATTATAAGTTTTTGGGGGATTTTTGGACAAAATATATTGAGTATATTATGATGAAACAGGTTGAAGTTTTAAAACGTTTTTTAAAAGGAATAGTTCAGCACTTTGGGACTGACTTTATTTCTGAGAGTGAGCTGAGAAGATGGATATCAGATATCAACCTCTTACGCACCTTAAAAGCTTACTAACAGTAACTGGACATTATATTTTTGAGCCTTTTGAGGTACGTCAATTGCAACCGAGTGTCGGCACATTTGGCAGTTTTCTGACATTAACGTGAAGCGACTCTGGCACACAGAGTTCCTCCTCTAAAACCAGATGTGACAAGGTTTTAAAAAGGTGGATTTGGGCTTCATCTGCTAAGCAAGCTAGTCAGAGTTGAACCGATACTGGGCGAGACGTTTCCTTTATTGTTTTCTTTCTTTTGTTTAGCCACTAAATGTGGATTAATCCGCCTCGGAAAATAGTCCCCAATAAAGTTACTCCTGTATGAGTAACATTTGATAAAAACTAAAGTGAGCAACTGTTTTAAGAAATGAATGAGAAATCAAACTATATATTTGTGAGATGTTTCTTTTCTTTGTAAAGATTTATGTCTTTAATGGGAACTTGGAGCTGACAGACTGGAAGTCAGTAAGTATTGAGAGACATTGTTGGTTTTGGTCTTATAATGGGATTTGTTGAGCCTTATTCTTTAACTAAATCAAATTAATCTTGTTATTGATCTAATTAAGTGTTACCCCCAACAAGCTTGTAGCGACCTTCTGAAGGTTTACGGATCAGGAAGGGTGGACTCGACATTTCATCCTCTCGGCGACACCGGCTGAACAGGAGGCGTCACGTGAACGAAAAGTGAAACGTAGGCACAGAGATAACAGAACGTAAAGGGTGGACGAGAACCTCAGTGCTTCACTAACACTACACAGATCCACACCGGAGTTCATCGTGGTTTTGTATTCGTTGTTCTTTATATGAAAATGGAATGTGTGTTTCTACTCTAGTCTACTGTCTCTACTGTGTTGAGTACTGAAACCATGCGTCAAGTTTTCTTCTTCACCGCTTGTTGGCAGGTGTTGGATTGATCACCGACTACATTCCCTCTTTTTTTTTTTTTTTAATTTATGGTAAAGCGGTTCATTCGCGTCCCTCAAGAGTTTTTTCTCCTCAACCGACAGACCGGTTTATGTACGATTATTGTCCTCTACGTACCACAAAAACATCTTGTGAGTTAATCTTTATCTGTAGAACGTCAAGCACCAAATTTCAGTTTATTTTTTTTTTCTTTTGCAGGATTAAGTTTGTTTCACGGGAACCTTGAAACCCGAAAAACATCAGCTCAAACTTGTGTCTCTCATCTTATAGTTGTTGTTGTTTTTCTTTACATTTGAGACTCCGGAACCGTCTGAAAACCCCAGCAGGTCGTCTGACAACGCAGACGTTTCCGAAATCCTAAAAGACTCTTTCGTCTGCTGCACAGTTTTTATCCAGTTTCACAAGGTGCCGTCCACTTGATGGACTCTCCTGTAATTGTAACTGCACACAAAATAAAACATAGAACAAAAAAAATTTGTATTAAATGGACCTTTGGTTGAAAGGAGTTACCTTCTAATTACTGACTTCGGCATTGAAACTGTCGAGTATCGACAGCATCAAGTGCTTGTTCAGATTCTTACTTACTGGATCAGATCATTTGAAAACTCAGGAAATTAGGAGTGTAATTTAATTTTTTAGACATTATATAGGAAAAGTTCCAGTACAGTTAAATGTGTTAAGTAGAGCTGAATTGAGGAGGCTGTTATCCGATCAGTTGACAGAAAATGAATGTACAACTATTTTAATTAATTGCTGTTAATTGTCATTTTTTGGAGCAAAAAAAGAAAACATTACCAACGCGAGTTAGAAGATTTATAAGAATTTGTGAATATTAACTTCATTAAAATAACAACATTAGTAGAGAAGTTTGGAATATTTTGTTTATGTTTATATTCCTGAAATTAAGGTACTGAAAAAGTTTTGCTTATGTATCAGTACCAATAACTGATATTGTATTGCCACTGGTATTATTGAGCATTATTACGAGTATATAAACAATTTAAAAATTGGTTTATAACTCACTTTAATGAAGTTATAAGGAGTTACTTATGAGGTGTCCATTAATGTATGTATCAACTTGAACTGCTCCTATATGTCTCTACTGCTTATAGGTTGGTCGCCCCATTTTCATTTGGTTGTAAACAGGTTCAGTTTTACTTTCTTTAAACCAGATAAAATAGTCTTTTAAGGAATTAAACTAATGACCTGCTGGGTTTTACAGTTCTAACTAGAGTTGCAACTTCTCTAATGTGAAGATTTGCTGGCTGTCTTAATCTTCTGTGAAAGTAAACTGAATATTTTTGGCTTTTGGACTGATGGTTGGACAAAAAAATTTTTTTAAAAGACATCAACATGGACATTGTAGGACATTGTAACAGGCATTTTTCTCTATTTTCTGACTTTTATATTCAAAACTATTAACCATTAATCCATAAAATAATCAGCAGATTAACTGATGGTTAAACTAGAGCAATCTCCACATAATCATCAATTCAAGAGTCTCAAAGGTAAAAATACAGACTGCATGAGACACAGGCTGTATGTAAACCAGCTAATTAGAACATTTCCTCCTGTTAACATTTTTTTTTTTTTGTTTGTGTCCACCGGTCTGGGACAATCTCTAAATGCTGTTCCATATCTACCCAGCAGGTGTCCTCAGAGGACAACGACTGACCCAACAGCACATGACTACTGCATCTTGTATGTATGTGTGTGTATATATATATATATATATATATATATATATGTATATACAGTACATGTAACACTGAACCTCCACAGGCAGCACCACCGTCCCAAACACAGTGTCTTCATTAAGGTCTGAAGATTCAGGGTCAGCAGGGGCAAAGAAACTGTGCAAATGAGGCATTTGTAACAGAAAGTCAGACAAATACGATCTGAGCATCACTGCTGTAACACTGCCTGTCATGAGGCTGCTCTTAAGGAAATAAGTGGATTATTAGGAAATAATACTGCTTTAAGTTGTTAAAAAAAATGCATAACGTGTTACTCAAGTTCTCACAGCTCAGAAATGCCTTGGACTAACCCTTTAAAATGTCACATGAATTTCGGGGATAATCGGAAAATATCACCCCCGAAACAACAGTGGAAGCAAATGACCGCCTTAATAATCTGATTCTTATGAGTGACCGAGGATCTAAGTGTGAAATGGAACCATTAGTGAATAATTATGTTTGTTTCAGGACTCAAACGTGTGTCGAATATTCAAAAAACAAATTAAAAAATTCAAATAAATTTCACAATTAAGGTGAAAATTAGAAAAAGTTTGTGAAAAAGAAAAAATAAGTTTCCTTTGCAAGTTTTTAAAGATGTGAATTCAAACCACAAACATTAAGTTATTCAGTAGTGGTTCAACTTTACAATCAGGTGTTTAGTTGGATATAAAAACTCAAATTATTACGGCATTTCTTTGCTTCCATAGGCTGCTAAATCTCAAACTTTTCACTATTTTACCAACTAACTAATTTTAGAATTTTAGAAGATTTAAATGTGGTTGAATTGTAACAGCTGAAACATAAAAATAATTATAATGCATCTTTCTTTCTCCAAATGCCAGATTACCTTTAAAAAAAGTAGAGATTTTGGTGTGACGTCCACTACACTGCAATAAAACTCATCTAATCGAGGTCTTTGTGTTTGTTACTGAGTCCTGAAGATCTTAATAAGAGAATAAAATCTGCCAGTGCGGTGAAATCAGTCTCCTTTTAAAACAGAGATAAAACTTTGAAACAAGTTGATTTTTTTGAGTTTCAAAGTTTATTTATGACCTTTTGAGTTGTGAGTTTAAGAAACAATCTCACCAGCTGTTCTAGAAACTTTCATTCACATCTCACGATCTTCATCAGCAGACATACAGTTTGTCCAATCGTCATGGATTTTGTGCACTTGACGGTTGGTTTCTTCTGATGAAGCTCATGAGATATGACTGGAGACTCCAGAGCAATTACTAAATGGACCTAGTGTTTCGTCAACTGCTGTTTCCTGAGGTCCAAGAATGAACCTCGACGTCTGAGCAAAGAGGGACGAGAAATCCTTAAAGTGCTCGGAGAAAACGGGGGCAAACTACCAACTGCTGATGAAGATCATGTGATGCTGTCGAAAGCTCCAGATCAGCTACGAAAAATGTACTTGTATTTAAGAACAGGCTGCAAAGATTTTTCTTCTCTGGCAAATTTTTTTCCACCAAGAAATCTTTAGAGCTCAATAACAGACAAAGAACTACCTGATACGATGGAGATTTCTTTCACAGTGTAATAATGACTCATTCTGCACATTAACTACTTGAACTACTGGGGACTGATCTAATGTTGGAATGATTAGAGATCAGTCGACTGACATAATGTAACATTTTATCAAGCAAAAAACACTTAACATTTATGTAAATGTGAGCATTTTCTGTGTTTTTCTGTTTTATAAAATCACTCAAAACTGAAAAATCTCTGGATTTTGAAGCAAAACAAGACATTTGAAGACGTCACACTTTGGGCTCTGAACTGTGATGGGAATTATTTTTTTTCACTTATTTTTTAGTTTGTTTTTTTTAGATTAAGTAATTAATTAATTCATTTTAAAGAATAATAAGTAGATTCATAGATTAAGAAAACAATCATAAGCTGCAGCTCGACAGTGAACGGTAGCCTTTTGGGTACATTACCAGTGATTTTGCTAAAATTTCTCAATTTTTTTTTTTCAACCTGGAAAACTGTTGCCTTCCTTTTGTTTTCCACACTTTAAACTTGTATGCAAACTGTTGTCTGGTCTGGAATGTGGCAAAGAAAACCGCAAATCCTATTCTCTCAGGCAAGAAGCTCATTACCCATAAATCATTGGGACTACTGTTTAACAATTAACCAATATGACGCAGGGCGAGAAACTAACTTTCTACCCAGGATCCAATCCCTAAAATTCCCCAGCAGCTTTAATTTCCGGAGCTGACGAAGAATAGACAACTACACTATGACCTCTACGTTGATGGTCGACTACGTCTGCCTACATGTTCAGTACAGATGTTGCTGTTGGTAGATGATTATCTCTCATTGAGACTTGTTAAGTAGTCAGAAATACAGTCCGTTTAAGAACGCCTTCCCAGTCCGACCTCGAAAAACGTCTTCAGGCGTAGTTTTTCCCGTTCTGTATTCTTCCAGACGTGTGGAAGGACAGCCAGGAATGTGGTCAGGAGGAAAATGCCGATCCTGTTCCTTTTCAGGTTAAACCACTTATCAGGGTGGCAGTCAGGAGGGGAAACAGCTCGGATGTATGGATGCATTGTATGGAGCTGGCAAAAGCCAAAACAATCCGACTTCCAGCGGTAATACTACGCGTCATTGTGTCAGGGGAGCAACAAAAGGCCTTGCATCGGACAGGAATGCATTCTGTGCGTGCCAAGCTGCTTATTAGCCCAGTGACCTGTTGTCCAGTTGGGTTCTTTTCAAGTGCTTTTAACCCCAAAAAAACGACCAAAAAGAACAAACCAAAAAAAAGGACACTAAACATTGTTTTTCACATAGCACCATGCCATCGGTTTCCAGTTTCTAACACTTAATTGCAGTGTATCACATTTCCATAGGTTTTTTTTTTCTTTTTTTCTTTGTTTTGTTCCGTGAGAGCGCCGATATGCAGTGTCCGGAAAACAAAAAAAAAATCGCCCGCATGATGGTGAAGAAATAAAAACACAAATGAAGAAGAAGCACACACAGACAGAGAGGTGAAGGGGGGAAGCCGTAGGACTGACGAAGCTGAGGTATCTGTTCAGGTGACTCTTATTCCTACAGGGTGACCACAGTCTGTCTGCGGGACGTCCAGTGTGTCAGTGTGTGTGTGTGTGTGTTTGTACGTATGCTGTACATGTGAGGAACGTGGTGGCAGAAGGCACATATTGCCGAGGTGAGGTGAGGTGAGGTGAGGGAGGGCGGGGGGCAGGTGGGGTTTATGAGCGATGAACTCTCCTACATCCAAAGTGGGGAAGCTAAGCCTTTGTCCGCTTGTTGCGCCGGCTGGTGGATCACAAAGAAAACATGAGGCCGCTTTCAAAATTTTCACCAACCAAGCAGATTTTTTTTCATGTCAGAGGAGGGTCTCCGGGCTGGTTGGTCCCCAGATTAGTCTGACTTTTCATCATCGGGCCGGAGGTTCTGAGTAAATCAGGACATCCAGGTGATGGTTTTTTCGGTGAAGACGAAACTTAAAAGCCACTTTGAGTGTTTTACCAGCCAACAAGAGTTATGAGATGAGAGCAGGACCCCCACGTGATGATTGGTGCCTTTGACAGCAGCTAAAATCCAGCTGACTGGATTTCAGAATAAAAGAAATGTCAGTGGGTGAGACCTGCCTCATCGCCCACCCCCCTTCTGAAACTCAGACTCGGACTGAAACGTGTTCCAGCGAACGGGCCGGCGCGGGGGCAGGTGGCGGTGCAGGAGACGGCGTGGCCGGAGGAGGAGGAGTTATTGCTTTAAGCTCATTGCCAGGGCAACTCTGGGTGCTGACACCGCGGTTGAGGGCTCCGGCGCGTGGCGGAGCGTTAGCGTGCAGGGCGTTGGGGTCGGTTCGGGGGATGTTGACGGGGCAGGAGCGGGTGCGGGCGTGGCCCTTGTGGCCACCCGGGTGGCAGACGAGGCTGCCCACGGTGTCAACGGGCGACAGGTGGCGCTTGAGCCAGCGCTCCACCCGCTCCTCCTTGTACTTGATGGAGTACCACGTGAGGAAGATGAAGAAGAAGCCGAGGAACTTGAGGCTGGCGGCGAGGCCGAAGTAGACGAAGCGCAAGGAGGTGACGTCATACTCCCAGCAGGAGCCGTGGACGCCGCAGTCCTGCTGCCACAACATGCAGGTGGTGTCGATGACGGCGCCAAAGTAAATGGGTGTCGGGATGTAGGCTGAGTGCAGAAGAGAGGGGGAAGACAGGGGGGAGAAAGGAAGAGAGATGAGAGGAAGAGGAGGAGAGAAAAAGAAGAAATTGATGAGAAGGAAACAGAAAAAAGAAGTAATGACAGGAGAGAGAGAGAGAGTAAAGAAACAAGAGATGGGAAAATAGTAAAAATACAGAAAAGGGTAAAAATGGTGAGAGGAAGTGAAAAGAGATGAAAGGTGAAAGAGAGGAGAGACACAAGGACAAGAGAGAGAGAACAGAGAAAACTCATGAGCAGAGAAATTTGACCAAACTAAGGATAAATCTGAATTCTGTTATTTTTACTTTTGCACTTGTAAGAAACAGATGAAAAAGGTCACAGTTGCAGCAGATGAGACATCCTATACTAGCTCCAAACACACTCCTTGCATTAAGTTTCCCATAATGCAAAGCATCGTTTATTTCGCTGCCTGCTTGGTTAATTCTGACTGATTGATACTGACAAGCAGCTTTCTGAACGTCCCGTACATCAAATCCAATTTATCTCCTTACCCCTTATTCAGGAGAACGGTGATGTCGAGGCATTAAAGAGACAACATCTTATTTGCTAACGCTAAATCAGCTCATTGCTCAGCAGTTACAGAAGCACATTCTCTAAGTCCATTTACGATCAATGTATTTAGCTGACGCTCTCATCCTTGCGTACGGCGGGACTGACACGGACAACACTGCTGGTATTCTACCTTTTCATTTAGACTTTTTCCATGTAAAAAAAACCCAAATACAGTAAAAAAATAATGATGATAGAAATCCTCACCGAGAGTCCTGAGGAGAACAAACTGCATTCCCAGAGCAAACGGTCTTTCCTGCTCCGCTACAGACCTGCAACACATAAACCACACAGATAAGTCCAGACTGAGGAACACCATGATCGAGATAGAGATAAAGTGAACCAAATGAAGTCATTGTTACTTGTTTTGAACTACATGGACAGCTAGATTAATGGGATTTACTGTGTTTTGTTAGCGTGTTTCAAGTTGGGGAAAAGGAAGCTGTTTGTGTTATACCAAAAGAATTTGACCTCCATAATCATCACGTACACAAAGGTGTGAACATTCAAACTGAAAGACTAAAACCAGACAGAACTGAGCCCTAAGACTAAGAATAAGAACTCCTCAACTTGTAGCTTTCCATCAGCATTTGAAGCATCATATTGCCTTTAACTGTACAAACAAGTGATAATCATACATAAGATGATGATTGTTTTTTGGCTCCAGTAACTGCTGGATCAAGGTTGGTTATCTGCCACAGAACTTCCAAGTAAGAGTTAAACATTTACCAGCATTTGCCAACCGTTTTAACTCCTGTTTGTTACCTTGCAAACAGGTAAAGTAACAGGGTACGGATAAGACTGAGTTTGATTCCTGTATGTGTAGGATTTCTGACTTAGGTGACTTCTGATGGCAGTTATCAGTTTAAAAGATGCATGATTTTCTAAAATTCTACACTTTGGGAACGTAAAACCAAAAGTAAATACACTTCAGAAGGTTTCAGGAGATTTATTTCAGAAAATAAGTTCAACAGATCAGTTTTGTTATAAAAAATATGACAGTGAGGAGGTCATACCTGAGGGTGACGATGATGGCGGAGGGCTGGGCGCAGGCAGTGATGAGCGTGACGATGAAGAGGAAGATGAGGAAGGGGATGAGGGTGCTGCAGGTGCGGTCGCACTTCCCCGACACGGCGTAGCCATTCTCGTTCAGGTAGGTCTTGACGATGACGAGCTGCAGCTGGTTGCTGCCCTGACCGCTGGACGACGGCGTGATGACCTGCCGGCTCTGGACGCAGGCGCAGTCCGAGTAGTTACGAATCTGGAGGGTAGTTAGGGAAAGTGGAGAGGAGTTTTAGGCACTGAAATCATAGACGTTCAACTGCATTATCAACGATATCGGTCTCTTACCCCGGTGCTGTCGTTGGCGACGCTGCTGCAGCCGGCCAGGCAGGGGTTGAAGTACGTGATGCCATCGGAGCCGCAGACCGGAGCGTACTCGTGGATTTTACAGCCACAGTTCACATTACAACCTCCTGTCAGGTTCCTCTGGGTCATGGTGAGAGTAGGTCTGAGGAGAGAGAAAATTCACAGCAGTTCTTTAGCTTTTGCATTTTTAAAACTCCTTTTTATTTCTTTTACTATATTTCAAGATCGCAAGAAGCAAAGTGTAAAGAGTTCATCTGAGTTATTTTCTTAGTTAAAGACTAATAACTCTCCCGGTTGAATCTTAAGCAAAGATGAGCAACTAGGACAGAAATTTCTTTGAATTCAAAAAGGTAAAATGCTGCGGACATTAATAAACTGAAGGAAAGACAACTACAACTCCCATGGTGCACTTCTTTAAAAAAACATCCAATCACAGAGCTAAAAAACCTCTTGTGTTCTCATCCAACTATGAGCTGAAGCTAAAGATATTCTGGGTCAGTTTTCACAATAGTTTTGGATGGATCTTCTCCATAAGCAGCTGAGGCTCATGGGTAAAGTATGTTGAGCAATCCGCTGTGACAAACTGACAGAGAAAACTCTCAGTTTGTGGAAATAGTGAAAAATGATCCAGTACAGTTACAGTCCCTGTAACATTATAATATTTAGTGTGACATGATAATGTTAGCATATTAACAATGCTGCAAAAGAATTCATATCAAAATACAACTCAGGCTAAAAGAAATGTGTAAATGCTGTTGTGAACTGAAGTCACGATCATCTGGAGACCTTAAATGTCCGTACCAGATTTCATGGTAATCCATAGCGGTTTATATTACTTCAAATGCACAAACAGACCAACCAAGCAACCCATAACAACCAATATTAATGAACTGTATAGAAGCTAAACAGAGAGAACAAGAGTATCTGATTCTGATGAACTTTACTGTTCACTGAAAAAGCAGCAAAAAAACATAAAAAGGTTGAGAAATACGTGAGGAGGGAAGGGAAATGGAGAATGGACAATAAAAGAGGAAATGAGTGAAGATAAGGCAGAATAAAGACGGGTTGGAAAGAGAAATGAAAAGCGATGGATGAAGACAGAAAGGATGAGGAGAGACAGATGTGGAAACAAGACATAAAGACGAGAGACGAGGAGGAAGTGAGCTACAAGGATGAGAGATTAGAGGGATGAAACAAAAAGGGAAGGAAAAAGAAGGCCGACTACAAGACGCAGAAAGATCGATAAAAGAAATAAAGATAACAAAAAGAACATTAAAGAAGAGAGGGAGGGCAGGAAGGACAGAGAGACAGACTGACGGAGTAAAATAGAAAAGACCAGAGGGAGAAAACACAAGAAGAAAAAAAAAGAGGGCGGTCAGCCAGAGATCCTCTCTTCCAAGCTGTCCTTGGACGTTTTCCATCGTTGCCATGTAATCGCTCTCAGGGACGCTCTGTCCAAAAGAAACCGCCTCCGTTTTACTGGCTCGCTATCTGTTATCCCTTCACCGATCTGAACACTCACTTCCTCCCCAACATCGGTCACAGATGGGGCGATAAAAAAAAAAAAAACTACCACTGACTCCCGTCACACCGGGAAATGATTTAATAGGAGAAAAGGCCAAACTGCAAAACGGCTGTCTGTGATATGACTGAGAGCTTTCAACAGACACTGTTTACTCCTGGAATTACCACCAGAGCTGAGAGAGGAGTGACCCCAAACCACAAAAAACTGAAACTTTCAAACGTCTCTATGTTGTATTTAACCTTTAACCAGAACCAACGATTATTTTTGGTACCGATTAATCCAGTGCTTGATCTCTTGGTTGATCAATCGGTCAATAAAATGTCAGAAAATGATTAAATATGGCCATAAAAATGAAATAGGGTAAACACAGATCTTACCAATGCTACAAACAAAGGCTCCATTTCATCTAGTGTAGCAGAGCATTTCTATTTCCTTACTCTGTTTGACCCAAAGCAACGTACCCTTAACTGTTATCACTGGTAACTGGTTACTGACTACAGTTTTCCTCTAACAGTAACATTAATTTGGCCACAGCACAGGCTAAAATACAATTAAGATTTAAGAACACAGATTATTTCCAGGATATTTAATTAGTTTAATCCATTTCCACGACTGGAAAACTTGAACCCCAAAACACATGAAACTTAATTACTGAGATAAAATCATATTTAAGTGATTTTAAGGCCTAAAATTCTGATTTCTTGACTTTTTAAGACCCCATGCACACACTGCAAGTGATAAATATATATAAACTCAGGGTATCGTTTGAAGGTTTTAGAAATTTGACCCAATAAAACACCTAAGTTTTTGTATCCACTTCAGTAATTTTTTGACTGAACTCTGCTAAATAGTCTAAAGTACCTGATGTAAGAATACATGAACAAGACTTCGTATCAGAACCCGATTGCGGGTTTTGAAAAAAAAAAAAAATTGAAAACATCCAGGTAACAACAGATGAGTGTGTTTAGCAACAAAAGGAGAAAGAAAGTGAGAAACCGACTATTTATGCGCTGAGATGACGTTCCGGTGGTCACCACGGATATTTCTCTTTCTCCACCTGGCCTCCCTCTTTCATCCTCTTTCAGCCTCTTTCAGCCTCTTTCATAATTCTCTGTTTTTCTCTCTGTGGGTGTTTTTTTTTTTTTTAACTCTTCCTTCGCAGTCTGTTTATCTCTTACTTCTGTCTGCATGTTCTCTCTCCTTTATGCTTTGAGAGTGTTTGGCTGTCTCCGTCCTCCACAATCACATCACTGTGGAAACCGCGCATCGACCACTCGACGCACAGCGTAAATGTGTTCGATTCAGATTAGACACAAAACAGACAGCCTCAAACACTGCAGCGGCGTGGTTCTTCCACGTCAGCAGTGAAGCCTGACAACCCTCCACTTCCCCCCCCCCTTCCCTCCCTCCTCCCAGCTTCCCTCCTCACCCGGTGGTGTAGGGGATGTTAATTCCTCCCAGGTTGATGCTCTCGCAGCCCACGATGAACAGCGTAGAGAAGCAGAGCAGGGAGACCCCGCTGCAGATCATAGCCAGCTTGGCCGACTCGCGGGCTCCCAGCTTCAGCTTCTTAATGATGTAGCCGCCCAGGACGATGCCCACGCCGGCGCTGGGCACAATAATCACACCTGAGGGGGAAGAGAAAAGGCACATATTAGAAATTCAGAGAACTCTCTTCTCTATACGCCGCTTGGTGAACTAACAGAAAGTTTTTATTTTAAGCTTTTTACAGGTAATGATGGCGTAGAAACATGAGACAAGGCAGAGAAATGTGGTTAAATGAGAATTTACCAGCTTTATGTCCCATGTGTAGCTTAATGATGATGTTAGAAGAACAATAAGAACAGGAAACACCTCCCGTTACTCACACTCTGCAGTGTTCACACATTGTTCCAAGATGGTTATTCCTGCTGCTAGCCTTGTAGTCAACAACACTGAGGCTCAATAACCACATTAACCCCCCCCCCCCCGTCCTCTGTAAGTGTGGATATTAATTAACTGTTGTCTAGTAGACTTATCTTTGATCTCAAATGCACAATCTTGTAGTCTAGCTGGCTTTAGTCATCACATTGGTTGGCTATATTGCTACATAGTCTAGCTATCGTGAAAATGTCACAGCGGCTGAGTGAGTGAGTTTGTGATGTGGTTGATAAACGAGGTGGAGGATGAACGACAAGCAAATAATACTGATGAAGTTTTTCAGCCAGCTGTATGTACAGAAGCAAGTGGCAGGAAGGAGATAATAATAATTTATGTGCTTTGTGTGGTGCAGACATGAAAAGTGACCACAGTGTCTTCATCTTTTCGTCTCCATACCTTTTATAAATGCACAATCTCTAAGTTCTGTATATTATTGTGATTGAGCTGTTTTTGAAAAAGAAATGCCTTTAAATACAGATTACAACAGACCCTGCCTGTGAAAATGAGTCTAACTCAACTTCTACTGTGTTTAGCTCCTATTCATTTAGATTCATTATCTATATTAGTGTCAATAATGGGTCTAAGCAATGGAGGCTTTGCAGCCACGTTGCCAGCAGTTTGTTGATACTTCTACAGTTATACAGCAAGGGAAATGTCCTTTGGACAAAGCAGCAGAGGAAGCTACAAAACAGCTTGACCTTGTTTTTTTAGCCAAGCAGTTCCTCTATTATTATTCTATAAGGCAACATTTTACTTCAGCTGTAAATTCAGTTCTAACTGTGGTCTTTGCAGTCTTCACTATCTCTCCGATGGCATGACAAATCCTAAAGAAAATGTAGAAATCACAACAACAGCCTCCCCCGGACAGCATTACCATGACAGCACACATTTTTAGTGTGGGTGGCCCCCGAAGGGAGTGGAGCCTCTAACCCAGGCAGAGTTAGTGTCTTCTCAGCACAGTACATGTTAGATAATGTCCTGTCCTGTGCAGCTTTATGGCCATGCAAATCGTATGTTTATGCAAATCAGTGTTTAAGACCATAATCAGTCGGGTTTGGAGTTTCTCTGGCTTTTAACTTCCCTCAGAGCAAAGTCTAGTCCATGACATTTTCAAAGTGCAATGAGACTAGATTTATTTTCTCAAATAACATACTCTAAGTGATGCTATACAATTTTGAAAACAGATGTCCTTTTGGTTTCAGACATTTACAACATGAAAGATGTAATTTTCTGTAAACAATGGTTCAAATTCTTGCTTGTGCTTGAGATTTATGTCTGTTTCCGTGTTTTGTAAATTAAACTTTGTCGTTGGAAACGGTCTGAAAAGGAGCAGGCACATTCAAAAAATAACATCTGTCTATCACAGACGAACATCAACCAATAAGATCAATGAACCAAGTTACGTAGTCAAATACAAGACACTGCTTAGTTGCATGTGTTTAAAAATTGCCGAGCCCCGGTCCTTCAGTGACAGCATCAGACTCGGAACCAGAGGAGGAGACAACCGAGTCTGGGATAGAGCCCGGCTCCGAGACCCAAATTAAAAAGGCCAAAATATATTCCTTCAAACAGGACTGGCTGAAACTATTTCCCTGGCTGAGGTAGAACAAAGGACGTAACGCAATGCACTGCGTGTACTGTCAGGAGTGCGGTCAGAATATGGTCGGAAATAGAGCATTCGTGAGCGGGTCAACAACGAAAAAAAAAAAATAACATAACATGTCTAAAAACACACGATATGCCGTGACAAGTGTGTAGAGAAAGTGGCCCCTCTCCCAGCTGCATTTCAACGGCAGGTACTAGTAATTATTATTATTTTCATTAATAATTATTAAATATAATAAATATAATTATGAAATTTTTGAGTTTGAAATGTTCAATTTCAGTTCAGTGAAGCAATTTAAGCACAAGCACTTTTATTTGGAAATGTTTTATTTTGCTTAGTGTTTTAGTTTGAAATTTCAGCTCAGTGAAACACTTTAAACACTTTATTTTTCTTTTTATATATAATTGTGCTTCAAATAAAGACAAACATTTCTCTACACCTTATTCTTGTTTAAAAATCATTCACATTATATGAAAGTTATGGAGAGCAATAAAAAGGTGACCTTACGGCGTTAAAGGCAACGCAATGAAAAAAATGGGTGCACCTAAAAAAAAAAAGTTAGGCGCACCAGTGCAACCAATGCAAAAAGTTAGTCTGGAGCCCTGCTCTGATGTAACTGATGCATGCAGCATCTACACTAACCACTTTAGCAGACACCACGGTTGTTTTCAAGCAAACACTCACTTCTTGATTTTAAGGGGTGCTAGACAACTTTTAAAAATATACACAGTGTTATATTTTTAAAAAAAAAATAAAAAAAAAAAAAAAAATAAAAAAAAAAAAAAAAAAAAAAAAAAAAAAAAAAAAAAAAAAAAAAAAATTTTTTTTTTTTTTTTTTTTTTTTTTTTTTAGTTTACTAAATGATAGAAAAGCGGTCCCTTTAGGAAAAAGGTTGCCGACCACTGCCAGTAGTTCCCAGTAGTTCCTCATAGGACACTGATTGGTCTGGTAAAAAACTGTGATTGGACATAAGCACGTAGCTTGAAGCCAGTCAGGGTGGATTCTCGCGTGATCTTGTCCAGCTGCCTTGTGAGGTTGGTGTTCAGGGACACTCAAAAAAATACAGAACAATACAGCAAGACTCTAAGAATCCAACACTTTATCCTGCTTATTCTACCGAGGGAACAGAACCACAAACCCTGGCAGGTGGGTGCTAGTGCCTTGCTCAAAACTCCACAGAGACTGAACAGCAACGGATACCAAACTGGGTCCTTGAGCAGGTTCCCAAGGAATATTTTGATTTCACCCACTAGAGGTTGGCTTAATATGAAAATACTGTATGTATGAGTGGCAGTTTTAATCACAGGCTTCGCAGCCCACTCCACCTACAGCTGAGACAGTTATGCAACTCGACACTGAAATATTTCTAAAAATAAAAGTCTTCTAAGATGGAATTTATTTGGACAAAATCGTACCAATGCAAGTATGACTTAAAACAAAAGTTTCCAAAACTATATAAATGCAGATTTTGTTGTTTTCATGGTACCTGCAAGTATGACTAACAATGTGCTGCTGCACTTTGACGACAGCAATCATAATCATTTTATTCAAAAGGTGAGCGTCTTATTTTGTAATTAAACTCATTATAATCACATCACAGCCAAAAAACAAGCAGTGTGAGAGTAAATATTTGAAGAAATTATCACATCTGCTTGCTGTTCTAAGTTCAGACATCCTATAACCTGGAGGACAGCGTCTTCATAGACACACACATATATATATATATATTGTTGGAGGAGGCATTAACAGAAGCTACCGCACTTAAACTGCTAGTGCCAGATGAAAATAGACAACTGTGTGTCATGATGGTGAAATAATACATACATATATTGTTTAAGCTTGTGTATCTGCAAACATGTCAATCCAAATCTATAGAACGAAACAAAAAGGTGCCACATAAACTTCCAAATGTGGAAATACTTTTGCTATCAGCGTCTACAGAATACCAAAATAGCCAACACCTCTAAAAAAAAAAGGCCATCGTTCCTCTCAGCTTCTTGTTATCAGCCACAGCAGTGAGACGCCTCTGAGTAGCTCTCTATCTTTAAGATACACTCCTGACAGTCTTGAGGATTTCGTTGACACACAGCTTTACTCCTCTACGGGCTGCTCATTTAACTTATATAACACTTAGATAAGCTGTTCTATAGAGTAGTCAACAAAGAAGTGGCCTTTTCTTTAATAAGACTTAAAGCCTGTAGTCATGCTGGAGGCTCTGTGAGGCTCCTCTGTTGTTTTATCCCTGAAAAACAACCAGCTCATCCCACAGACTTTACTCTAAGAAGATGTCTAAGAAGATGATTATGATGATGGTAGAAAGCTTCATAATGTAAAGATTAATAACTGTCCTTGTCTGCAGTTTGAGGCGCCCTGTCAACAGTTTTACAGACAGATCTTTTGTGGTGAAAATGCTTTTTTGCTGCAGTACTGAAGCTGAAACCGCTGAACATTGTTTTGAGCTACAAATCACGCTCGCTGCCAGAAGAAAGGCCATGTTATAATGCAAATCATATGGGTCTTTCTCTGGGGGCTGTATCCTACAATTTCTCTCACTTTCCAAAACTAATAGTCCAACATTCACAGTAGAACCCAACCGATACAGGATTTTTGAGGCGAATATCGATCACGATTTTAGAGGGGAAAACAGTCACAGATTACAGATAAAGCAGCTGATATAGTAAATGTTTGATCTGGAATGAAAATAGACCTTTTATATAGGGACTGTGCACCAATTTTGCACCTATATGACTATACAAAGATAACTTGCTCTCTTAAAACATATAACTTTTATTAATATGTTAAATAATTCAACAGACACACTGTCAATTAATTCTAGCTTCAGTAGTTAACACAACATATGACAGCTCAATGTAAACTTGTTATTAATGTACAAATGTCGACATGCTGCGTACAAGCATGTAATGTATTAGCCTGTATGCTTGTTTAAGCATGTCTGCTTTAGCATGTGATTGTGCTTGTTAGTGTGTGTGTGTGTGTGTGTGTGTGTGTGTTTCTAAAAGTGTGTACTGCACTCAGTGCTCTAGCTCTATGTCCCAAGAGACCCCTTCATTTGAAGACCAGCAGTTTCTTTATTATTAATGTGTGTTGGCTTGCAGCTCTGGGCCGACAGCCTCTCCTCCTCTGCTCTAAGATAAAACCAGCAGAGCACCGCTGAACAGGCAGATATTAAAGTCCTGGGTGGTGTATGAATATTCTGGTCTGTCTGCATCCTGTCTGTGCTGCTGTAGAGACATTAAGGTGGAGTTCAGAGGAGAAGGCAGAGAATAGTTTTGTCTTTAGGATGCTCAAATTCCTCCCAAATGTGAGAGTTTTATGAGTTAGAAGCCCCATTTTTGAAACATCATTTTTAAAAGAGAGACAACCAGACATCAGTTTTTCACACAAAGATATCAGAGTGGGTCATAAATATAGATTGGGTGATGAGGTAACTTTGCTGCTTTAGTACAGTGTGGCGTTTAAGTTTAAGCTCACCGGTGTAGATGCTGGCGCTGGAGGCTGGGATGCCGAACTGAGACTCAATGAACTTGGGGATGAAGGTGATGAAAGCTGTGACTATGGCGCTTTCTGCCGTATAGGACAGGCTGACGAACAAGAAGGTCACGTTGCTCAGGATCCTCACTGCTGCTTTGGGCAGGTCTGAAAGAGGAGGAGGAGGAGGAGGGGGGAGAAGAAGGGCAGACAGAGAGAAGAGTTTGATTTTTTTTTGTTGTAAAGCAATTATCTGTTCCCAACAGTCCACTCTATCCCCACAGTGTCATGAAATATTGTGTGGTGGATTTCTCCTGAAATATAGAAGATATTATTACACTTAGGCTAGATGCCACTAAATCTTACACACTGGTCCTTTAACATGCAGTCAACAGTCCATTATGTTCACAGTACAGGATGAGCACTGACAAATCTTTGTCTATAAAATGTCAGAAAACAGTGAATCCATCACAGTTTTCTGACATAAAAATAAATAAATATTAAGCTGACAGTTTTCAGATTAGTCAGAGGACTCAGGAAACCAGCAAATAATCAGATTGGAGAAAGCTAGAACTCGAGAATTTTGACATGTTTTCTTAAAGAATTACTCATAATGATGAATTTATGTCGATTCAATAATTAATTAATTGTTACAGTTCTACTTTTTATTAAACCATTAACCACCGTTAGATGTTGACCTGCTGGACTCATATTTTAGAGCCATGTAAAACTGACATCATCGGTGACATCAGCGGCCCTCGCCAACACGTCGCAGTATTTTCTGGTACCTTTGATGTCCTTTCCGAAGCCCATGGATGAGGTGACCGTCTGGCTCTTGTTGTTGCTCTTCTCCTTGAGGACGTCGTCGTCGCTGGACAGGTCGTCCAGGCTCACCTTTTTTCTCCTCTTCTTCTTCTTGTGTCGGGGTGGCAGCTTCTTGGGGAAGGTGAACATGGGGAATATGACCAGCAGCATGGCCACGGCGCACAGCAGGAACCCGCTCCACCTAGACAGACGAGGGAGGATCGACAGTCAAAATACAGGAAAGTGACCAAAGAGAAGTGAATTCAGCTGAGTCAGTCGAAGATGAGAAATTTTACTCGTCGCTCCATGTTATCGAAGACGATTAGTCTGGTATCATTTTATCTCCGTGTCTCATTATTATAAATAAACAAGCTTTAAACAGGTTTGTGCAAAATCTCTAGTACACTCAGGCATCAACTTCCTGCTATCATCACCTATAATTCATGTAGGAAGCCCGTGGCTGCTAGCTACTGAGTCACCGGTTATGCTGTCGGTAAAGAGAGGATGGCATCACTGAGCGCTGTAAATAGATGACTAACCGCATCTCAGACATGCCAACTGATTTACAGATGGGTATAAGACGTCTACAAAAACTGTACCCAAAGAACAAACATGCATCTTATGTAAAGTAATGCTGCCTTTTTGGAGTATATGTGGTTGTCTTCATTGATTAACTCTTATGCTTCAGCTTCAGTAGTCAGGCTTTCAGCACAGAATTGAGCAGAAACAATGTGTGTTCTGCCTTTATAGATTCCCATTACTGATTTTTGGAGAGAGGATTGTCTCTGGTCATGTTGTATAACCCTATGAAGCTTTGAGACGTCCACCACTGAAGCTAAGGTATTACAAGTTGAGCACACACAATGGGAAAATAGTCCATTTAACACTGAGTAAAGATCCCAAATTCAATCCAAAGTTAGATTTAATTAAGGGCCTGGAATCTCAGTACCGACCAACACATATTTATCATTTAACGTGGCATCAGATTATCATTATTTCCTGCAGTTGCTGGAACTAGAATCATTTGTTAAAAGAAAAGGCTGTTGCTACTGTCAACAAACCCCCCCCCCAAAATATACCAAAACCAACTTCTCTACTCTGTGGCTTTCAGCTCAAAACCCATCAGTTCCTAATAATGATGTACATCTTTAAAAACCTATATATATACACGTTAAAATAAATCTTTTAAAAAGGCTCAGTAATTTCCCAAAAGAGCTGCACAAGGTTTAAACAAACGCTACTCTAATGAGAGGAAGTAGTGCATTTGTTGGGGACTATTTTCAGCTGCGGATTAATCCACACTGTGAGATTGAGTCAAAATAAACGTCAGTGATTGTGTTTTGTTGACGATGGGACAAATAAATAATATCACCAGACTATTTCTACTGAAACACAGGTAGTATACCAGCACACGTATATTACACTTCAACCAGCCCAGATTTGTTCTCACCAGTTGCCGATGAAGCGGGGGTCGCTTTGATCGATATTGACAACAGTCTTCGGGTCCACGTAGAAGCCGATGAGGACTCCTCCCAGCAGGTATCCAGCCGCTGGACCCAGTGCTCCCATCACATACATGATGGCTGAGGAGAGGAGAAAATAGATTGTGCTCAAATAAAACATCAAAACAAGCCGACAGATATAAATTCCCCCACATATTACCGTCTTATAAAGTACAATAATCGCCTTCTTTCACATCCAGCAGACACAGACTCTCCTTTAACTCCTGAGAAAGCGTATAAAACCTGCATTGTTTCTATGGGCCAGCAGGGGCAGCTCTATTGGCTGCAAAAAAAAGTCTGATAGTATTGAGTGTTATGGGGGAAATAACTGCTTATCACTTGATTCATGAGCTCAGTAAACAGTCTCCTAATGAGTTTATGGTCTCAAGTTTTAGGTTTAAGTCTTCTTCCATACAGCATGACATTCATTTTGTAAATAATGGTCCCATTTAGAGTAAAATAGACCATAAAGCAGGGCATGCTTTCTTAGTGAGTCCATCCAGCGCACAACACCGCCTACGTCACCTCTGAATGAACATGATTTTAGATGATTCGTCTGATAATAAGTATTGTATGTCAACTTCTGTAAAGTTATTCAATTATCTAAACTCAATGCCTAACTTTAACCATTATGTAACTCTTTGAATCAAACTAATCTAGCATTAAGAGTGGGGTACAAAAGGCCATGTGTGTGTGTGTGTCATGTGAGCAGATCATATGACTGTGTAATAAGGGCCTGCTTGAGGCTGAGAATAAGATTTCTCCAATTAGAGGGAATTAACATCTTAAAGTCTTTGGCTGAAGTTGAAAGTGAACACAAAAAATCCAGTGGCGTGACTCAAAAACTCAAAGCTGGGCCAAACTGAACATTATCCAACTGTCCTGGGAACTTACTGGGAGCTCTGGGTTCATGTCAGTAGCAGTTTCAAAGACAGCTCATGTAGAATTTCTAATCACTGAGGTCGTGCTTTTCAAAATAAAATGACAACTTGCTAATGATGCATCGACAGCTCTGGCGGCCGACTGTGGGGACTTAATTGAAATCTAATCTTCTTTTTATTTGTGGAAAACTTAAAACTAGTGTATACTGGTTTAAGTTGAGTAAGCATAGATCATCTGGTTGTTGATTTCTACAGACTGGAAAAACTGCAAGAAGTAAAAGAGACCTTTACATATAGTTTTAGCTATTTTATAGTTTGTCTTTGCTTTCTATAATTTATATATAATAATAATTTGTATTGTTTACCTTTGCATTTGATCAGTTCACTTCATTTCTGACATTTATGTCTGGCTTGTTGTGCCTTTTTGTTTCATTTGTAAAGCATGCTTTTTAAATGGAATACTACTAACTTTGTGGGGAATAAAAACAAAGCATAAAGACAATAAAGATCTCTGTAAGTGAAGGATTTCAGCAGAAATAGTCCCAAAGAAAACTATCTATAAAATGTTTCCCCATTATCTATTCATATTACGATTATATTATTGATTAATCGCTCAATCAACAAGGTAAAACAAGAGAAAAAGTTCCATAACTATTTCTCAGGGTGGTATCTTCAAAGCAGTCCAAACCCAAACAATTTTCAACTCACAATGAAATAAAACAGTAAACCAGCAAATCCTCACATTTGGGAAGCTAGAGACAGAGAATAACCACCAGTTTTACCTGATAAACTTAAATAATGACATTGAAATTGTCCAATGAAGTCAGGACTATGTGAGAAAAGATTGTGTCCATATTGCCTGGCCCTAATAAAGGAAAACTGATGAATACATCAAAACTCCATCGCCTGCAGAGCATCTTCACAGAAGCATATTCTCTCAGCCTCCACTCGACCATTACATCATCTGACTGGGATAGCCACAGCCTGGGATGATAAAGCATGGGGATGGGATTGAGGGCTTGGGTTTTCCAAGGGGACCCAGCGGCATCAAGGATAATCCCTTATCTAGCAGGAGAAGAGGAAAACCCTCGGCTGGCGGACTGCCGTGTTACACAACGTGATGTCAGCCGAGGGATAAAAGGGACGACCGGGCCACCGCTGACATGTGAGAGAAAGTGAGAAATAAGAAAAATCGTTTGTACTTATAATGTTAATAAAATAAAGTTGCCACTGAATGTCAGAGATTCATTAGCTTGTCTAGACAGTTTGATTTAAATAAAACATTGTGCTAGTTTTAATGTATTTTATTTGGCTTTTACAGCTGCTTGTGTTAAGCTACAACCACGCACGTTCGCTCTCGTGATGCCCCAAATATGTTCATATTTGGGGATTTCTGGTGGAGTGGAACTTCTGCAGTATTGGAAACACAAGCAGGTTTAAAATGTGCATGAAAGAGGTACGTGGAAACACACCTAGAAAAGACTGACAGACAGTAAAGTTCAAAGAATGAAAAGCAAGAGAGAAGGAAAAAGAGGTGAAATAAAGGCTGGAAGAGAGAGTGAGGAATAGGGGAAATGGGACAGGATGGAGAGAAGGGGGAGGTCGAATGGGACAGAGAGATGGAGGATGTGGACACGAGTCTGTGTTGAGGCAGCAGTGTTTGTCCTGATGGAGGGAAAACCTCTTTTGGTATCAAAGCAAACTGATTTTCAGCCTGTTTACTGAAAGCAAGGCCACGACTTTTGATTCCTCCACGTCTTTATCCAGTAAATCCACCAATCCACAGCCGGAGGCCTGATGTGGTCCGATCCTCCAGTGTTAGGCGTCTTTTCCTGGAGACTTGCATGGACACTATATGGTCCAGAAATTAAAATAAGTGGATTTTCCTAATTGGATCCAAACTAAATTTGAATGTATTTCTACAGATGCACCTCAGTCCGGACACCAAAGCTGCACAAACAGGATTTCAAAGTGTCTTTTCTGTCACATGCAACACAATGTACAACAACGCACAGTGAAGCCCGCCATCAAGGCAGCAGGGAACAACGCAATGTATAATGTATACAAGCCTCAACTTGAACAGCATGGGATGATGGATCTTCATTTCTCCTGCTTCCACGCTGGAAACCTGCGTTATGTAGTTACCGACGCCTACGTTTGGGACATACGATTCCGATCCGATCGCTCACAAATAACAGCGTGGGCAATCTGTCTTAAAGATCTGATTTGAGAAACCAGTCTGATTTTCCTCCAGTCTGAAAAAGCCATAATCACCTGAACTGTCATCCAGTGTGCTGAAGTTACACAGCGTGCCTTTTAATACAGTATGTTGCCTGTTATACAACAGGTAGCTTCAGCCAAGCAGTCTGATCTGGTCAGATCTGGTTTAAGACACATTCTGAAATGTGCTGTGAGTCATATTTGTAAAGGCTGCAAACACCAGCTCTTGTAGTGAGCAGTAGTAGCTAATAAGCCGTTGAGAGGCAACTTTTTATTATGATAACGTGTTGGTAACTGCTGCAAACACTGTAATGATACTCTAATATGACATAATGCTCACAGCAGGGTTCCTTGCAGGGTTTGTGGTTGCTCTAGTGTTGCTTGATAGCTATCACACACACATAGTGAGAGTACAGAGAGCCCTCTCAGGCGTTCACTGCTTCACTAACAAAAAGCATCTGTAGTCATCTGCCTCTGTACAACCCTGATTACATGAGTTCGGACCTGCTGGGCTGGGGACATAAACCCCAACACGGTCGTAAAAAGAGATTGATGGCAGTTATAAATTAGAGGAAAACCTGTGTGAGAGCCACTGCTGGCAAAAAAACACTGATAATAAATGTAAAATGTAATTTTGAAATGGTTTTCATTAAGGGTTTCAAGAGCCTCAGGAAGATGTGAACCTCAATGAACAAGCAAAAACTGTGTATGCTTCCAATCCTTTTAACATAAATCAAAAACATAAATCAGGATTGCAGTTGGAGTTTCATGAGATATTTGCCAGTTGATGTATGGATTTATTTGTGACTTACAGCTTTTTAAATGCTACAAAACTGCAGCTGCATTTTTTCTTTGTCCCACCCACACGGCAGCAGAGGTAAAAAAAAAAAAAAAAGAGAGAGAGGAGCCATGTGACGACGGGGGTTGGAGAGAAAGAGAGACAGACAGACAGACAGACAGACAGACAGACACAGCTGAGGCCAGGCGAGGCCGGAGCACGGCGAGATGAAAGAGGGGAGACACAATGAAATGTTACGGGATGGGAGGCGTTGTTGTGGCAACCTGCTGACACAGCGAGGTCTCGTTACAACTTCCCAAGGGGCTGCCAGCACCCACATCACACTGCCAGCCTCCGTGAAACAGGGCTGGGCTGTACCGGTTGCCATTGGCAACCATTCTGAGAAAAACCGGCAACCATTTCTTGGCCTTTCTTTTTAACATATGACATAGGGACAGCAAACAGCAAAATGTGTGTCCCAAAATAAATAAACAGAGCTTGTTTGACTGAGGGTGAAAGGCTCGACTAACCTAACAACACAAACTGAAAATAATTTTATTCGGTACCTCTAATAAAGCTTTAAAACATTATTTTATGTCATATTTTGATTATTAAGCTGACATATAACTGAATACTATCAAACAATGTTGACCATATTTTCAGTTTTGGCAACCCAAAGCTGATCAGGGGTCCCCATCTTTTTTATTTTATTTATTTTATTATACACAAATGTTCATTACATGTGCAATTAACTTCCATGTGCATGTATTTATCAAGCAGGTTGATGCTGTATGCATGCAGATATGAGAATTTTGCTCACAGGCCTGAAGAAAACACTACTACTACTACTACTACTACTACTACTACTACTACTACTACAGTAGAGAGACCAGTTTCAAACGAAATATGCATCTAGGTTTATGTGATCTGAGTGAGGGGGCTATGGTACAAAACTTTCCAGAACAACATGGCTCATTTAAAGGATATTTGGTCATTTTAATTTCCAGGGGTATCCATTACTGGAAAACTACTCTCTAAATTTCCAGGTTTTCCAGGACGCGTAGGAACCCTGTAACCCTGATGAACTTCTTGCTTTCCTCAGTTTAGTTAACGTGCTGCTGATTGTGACTGCTGGACAACATGAAGGCCAATCTACAGCTTAACATTCACAAGGACTAAAACCACTGAGTGATTAAAGGAGA